TTCTATTCTATTCTATTCTATTCTATTCTATTCTATTCTATTCTATTATTCTAATTTATTCTAGTCAACATAGTCAAGAAAACATCCCAACTTCTACATTTCACCAACTTAAACTTCCAGCACCCTCCCCCAACCATGAAGCCCAATTATTCTTCCCTCCCCCCACTTCTATGGCAGCTGGAAAGACAAGCAGAAGAAGGATTCTCGGAGGCTGACAGGAAAATGGTCATAGGTCACAGCGATGTTGTAGAATGGTCACTAAAAGGAACTACCAGGATTACCTGCCTTTCCCCCTGTGGAAGAGAAATAGGACACGGAGCCAAGGTCTTCCACCAAACATTCCAATTTCACGGAAGCTCACAGAATGGCAATGCTGTTTGTAGGATTTTGAAGGCGTCTTCCTGTGGCCTTGTTTACATTTATCATGTCTTTCAAACCTTTAATGGCCTTTGACAGTTCTAATTGGTTTTTTTTAATTGTGTGCACCCCCAAATCCCATACAGATGGCGGGTAGAGGCATTGATTCGATAATGAAATAAATAAATTTGACGCCAACGACTTGGAGAAGTTCAATGCTACTTTCAAACGCAAGAGGGATTTTTTTTTTTTGGATAATGGGAGGTGCCTGAGGCCAGAAAAAAACAGGAGTGGACAGCGGTCAGTACTTAAATAAAGCCAACAATTAAACAAACAGGCAGACAGGGGGAGGGAACACAGGAATTCAATGGAAGCTCTATCTGTGCCCTTCAGCTCTTCGGGTTCCAACAATTGTTGGCCTGCTGCAATTTGGCATGTGCTTAAAAGTAAATCAACTTTGCTGTTGACCAAGGGAGGCGAAAGGCTCCTTTAGGAAGAAGGAATGCAGAATTCTGCAGTTGGCACGCACATGTGTTTGCTCTTTCACCTGTTGCTCAATTCCCTTCGGCACAAGTCCACGTCCTTGTTTTCACTGTGTGCCACCCTTGCAAGACAAGTGGTGCCTTTTTACCCCGTGTGTTGGGTGTGTTGTTCGAGGCTTGGCTTCATCTAATGGTTGACTCACATCCCTGGCACTTCCTCTTTAAAGGTGATCTTTGACTTACGAATGCAATCGGGACCGGAAAAATTAATTGTTCAAACATGTGGTTGTTAAGCAAGGCACCACGGGACTGGATAGGGTTCCGATGAACGCTCTAATTAATTCCCGAGCCTCGAGCCAAGTTTCGAAAGAAACCCAATTATTTATTACAAGCAACATGTCAACACTTTTCCCAAGATGCCTCTGATAAGGGGGAGCCCTTCCACTTGATTAAGTATTGGAGTTGTCTCCTGGGCCACCTTGAATTGAGGATTTGCTGCACCTCATAATGGGTTTGGCCTCCCACGACCACGGGGTCTGGGGGCTCACAGGGTAGTGGCCTCAGGGTTTTTTTTTGCCAAGGAAACCACTGTGGTCATTAAATGAGACCTTACAGGACCACAGCTGTTGACCTTCTGGCTTCCTCAATGACTTTGCTTGTCGGAAGACAGCTGGGTAGGTTGCAAAATTCGATTCTGGGGCTGCTGGAGGTTGCAATTGTCATAAATGTGACCCAGGGGCCAAGTTCCCAGGTCACAATCGCGTGACTGCAGGGATGCTCACAAGTGTGAAAATGGCAATGGACTTGCAGAACTTCAGGTGGACTTGAACCCAGGTCTCCCTACTCCAAAACCAATTCTTTAACCATTTCAGATAGTCCTCAATTTACAACTGCAATGGAGCCCAAAATTTCTGTTGCTAAGTGAGACAGTGATGAATTGAATTCCGTTTGGCGTTGTACAGCTAATTGGCCAGTCGTTGGCAGCATTTCAAGGGAGATCAAGGTGGGTGCTTATCAGCCTTATCCCAAAGGCAGAACTTCTGTTGGGACTATTTACAAACAGTTTGGGACTCATTACGGGCTGGGAATGAATATAGTTCATAGGTGTTGCAATAAAACAAAAGGATTGGGGGACTAGCGTGTGTTTTGTTACCGTCTCAGGAAGCCTTGGTCAGAACACTGACAAATGCCCCTCCCCACAGCATTCTTTGAGTCTCAGTCCCCAGGACTGCCTTGTGAAGAGGTGTGGGGCAGTCTCCTCCCGAATAGTCAGCTCAGTCTGTGCTGTTCTTGCCTTCTCTCCACTCTCAGTGCTCAAGGATCAGGAGGGGGTAGTCCTTGCTCATTGCCTGCTCTCTCTCTCATGTTCATGCTTAGCCTCTCTTAGTCATCCTGCCCTTCTTCCTCCCTGCCTACAAGCCGTCCCAATCCCTGGCCTGACTGGGCCTGCTCCTCCCCATTTTCCTCCAAAACTGCCCCCTCAGTCTCTGCCGGCTCCAGTTCCAGCTCATCTTCCCCCACAGATTCAGGCTCTGACTTAAAGGTGAGATGGGAACGTGGGTTTCTCCACTTCCAAGTCCTTCTTCTCAACGCTTACACCGCCCTGGATCCATTGAGGTCACCACGCTGTGCAGCTTTCCCATGCTCTTCCCCGAGATTGGACTGAGCCCCCGTGGGGTCAATCTTTTGTGACTTTGTGTCCAAACATCTCACACCTTCCTGGCCTCCGAATCTCTTCCCGAAAACACATTTATCTTCATCAGAAGAAGCTCCATTTAAAACAGAGCAAACTTGCAAGCTCAGGTTATTGCTGACCTTATCTTGCTCCTGCTGTGCTTTTCTGTCAGATAAATCAGCTTTTTTTTTATTGCCATGTAATCTTTCCTGCGCATGGAAGAGCTATGACAGGTACCAGATAAAATAGCTTTGGGTAATAAAGTTGTCTTTTAAATAAGAAATTACATATATACACGCCTACTTTCCAATAAAACCGGAGTGGTTTAAAGGTGCAGGGCTTTTCCTAGATGGAGAAAGAGCCATGGAGAAAATGTTTCTTTGATTCTTAGATTTTATTAAAAACTAATTTTTCTCCACTGTTCAGTTAGTAAGTGAAATCTATTCTTTTCTTCCTTTTGGACAGTGGAGCAAAATCTACAACCGGTTTTGAAGGCATCTAAAATTGCATCTTAGCACGGAAGCCAACGTTTCGGTCTTCTAATCTAGCCATATCTTAAGACTTCTTCAACCGCTGTGCTCTTTCTCCCAAAATAGAAATGTTTCCGTTCAGGTGTAAACTTTATTATGTCATCTGACCGACACCCAGAAGGCATTGCATAATGGAATGAGGTCACCTTGTATGGTGAGCCTTATTCCGGGTCTTGAGAAATGGCTTGGTGGAGAACATCTATTTCACATCTATGTAGGAAGTCCCAAGTTTAATATCTGACATTTCCTGGTGAGATTAAAGCTGCCAGAAAACTCAGAGTTTTCCTCCCCGATGCCTTGTAATGACAGTCTTATTCAAAAGTTGTGTTTAGACAGGATGCTAGTATGGTTTTATTGTGAAATCTTTTCATGACCAATAGGTGCTTTTCCTCTCTCCAGGTACAGCAGCACTCCACAAAACCTATTTTATTTATTTCATCACCTTTTTACCTTATCAGTCAAGGAACCCTCAAAGCAATCCATAGGGAGATGGTGTAGGAACTTTCTTTGGCAGAAGAAGAGTGGAACCTAGAGGGGACTTGGAAACTTGCGCTGGTACGCAACGCGGGGCCTTGAAATGCTTGTGGCAGGAGTCACTCAAAGTCAAGTGATGTGTTTATTAAATAAACAGGTTTATTATTATTATTTTTAAAAAGTAAAGACAGGAGGGATCCCAAGATTAACTGGAGCACCCAACTGTCCTTGAAAAGAGGATGAGAAAATATCTAAGTGGGCATTCAATTCTATAGACTCAGATGGCTGCTGTTAGGTGACACGAAAACACAACAGGAAGGAAGGGAGGTGGAGGGGGAAAAGAGGGAGGGAGGGAAGGAGGAAGGGAGGGAAGGAGGAAGGAAGGAAGGAGGAAGGGAGGAAGGAGGAAGGGAGGGAGGGAGGGAGGGAGGAAGACACCACTGCTTCTTTAGAGCCTCCAATATGTCTACTCCCCATGTTTCATGACTCTCGGCACCAACTTCAACATGATGGGTTTCTTCGTCTTGAGGAACCCTTTGTCATCCAGCTCCAAGGGGATCTTCCCCAAAAGAAAGGGAGAAAACAGTACAGGATTGGAATTAAACAGAGGTGATTCCACTACCAAGAATCATGTTTTACCTACATGGCTTTTCTACACTTATGCAATGCCTCGGTTGTATTTTGTTCAGCTCAAACCCATTTCCCCCCACTGTCTGTGTTGCAACGGACAAAGGCGTTTCATTAAGGACTTCACTCTGCTGTGAGTACCAAATAAGACTCTATTCTCAGTAAGACGTAGAAGCAAAACCTAGGCATTGGAGCATCTCTCTCTCTCTCTCTCTCTTTCTCTCTCTCTCTCTCTCTCTCTCTCACACACACACACACACACCACATACACGGGATGGACCTGATAAGATGACCCTGTCTTTCCAAGAAGATCTTTCTTTCACATTCATCACCTCTTTGTATCTTTGAACAAGACATATAGGTGAGATGGGATATCAGTTGAGTAATAGCAATGGCTATAACACTTAGACTTATATACCGCTTCACAGGGCTTTACAAGCCTTCTCTAAGCAATTTACAGAGTCAGCCTCTGGCCCCCAACAATCTGGGTCCTCATTTTACCCACTTCAGAAGGTTGGAAGGCTAAGTCGCCCTTGAGCCTAGTGAGATTTGAATGGCCAAATTGCAGGCAGCCGGCAGTCAGCAGGAGTAGCCTGCAGTATTGCACTCTGACCACTGTGCCACCACAGTAAACTCTCTAGCGGATGAGCAGGAACCAGCTTCCAACCCAAGTTGTAAAACTCACGGGTGTTTCTTTGCAGGTTTGAAAGCGAAATCTTTGCAGCGCGACCACCAGACCCATTTTCACCACCAGGAGGGCGAAACGCATAGCGATGCAGTTCCTGGGACCCGCTCCGAAAGGGAGGAACATATATGGATCTAGGCTCTCTTTGTTCTCTTTACTAAACCTATTTGGGCAAATGAGAAAAGAATCACGGCTGAATAAAGCTACTATTCCCAAGAGTTTGTACCTCAGTTCTGTAACTAAGACACCACTTTGCTTCTTCAACACTGGATAAACTGGACTGAGACCAATGAAGAAAGATAAACGTTTGTGGAGAGAGATTGTTGGCGTTAAATGGCTGATCTGATGTGGTGGAATGTAGTCTGGATTCCCAGGAGGGAGGGGCTGCATTTCAGAGGACCAAGAGACTGAACTTTATATAGTTTGGTTGGCGGGAAGAGAATTAAGGCGGCCCTTCTGTACCAATTCTCAAAGTGGGCATAGCTGGGGAGGTGGTCATTAGCCTGGGGTCATTATATTCCCATGGTCTAAGTTCAACCCCTCAACCTCTGTTCACCCTTATCTGGTGCCAATTTAGTGTTGAACTTTAGTTGATTAGATTTTTGGCTCGAGCAACAAATTTTCTGAACTGCAACTTAACATGTGTTCTGATTCTCTGGCTTGACAAGTATATTTTTTAATGATACAAGTAGTTGCTTTAGTTTGGCAAGATTCTGTCTACAGGTGAGGAACCATAAAGAGAAGTATTTAGAAGTAGTTTCTGCTTAATTAATTTGGACTTCTCGAGTTTTTATGCCCAAGAGTCTTTGAGTCTACTATGGCATCCAATTAGTGACAGCTATAATGTAGGTCAACGAGGCCTATTTCTCATATTTTGACCTACCTGTCATGGTTCAAGGAGGGAATCTTTTCTAAATTTAATTTCTTGCATGTACTCTTTACTCTTCAACACCTATCAGCGTGGCTTACAGCTGCCCTACAGCTTTTCGTTTAATTGTTGGAACATTAAACCAAGTCATTGTCTTAGCTGCTACAGTCAGTTTAGGCATCATTTTCCCCCATGGAGTTAATTAAGTTCCACAGACAATTTATGGATGTGGATCGTAAAAAAAGCCCTGTGTGACTTTGTAGATGTCAAAGAACGATCCGCCTCTCATTTGAGAAGTTACAACCGGTACTTTGCTTCCGGATGTCCTCACGGTGCTGCGTTCCTTACTAATTTGGTTTCAGAAGGATGGTTTCCTCACAACATACCTTTCAGGTCTGTACTCTTCGGGCTCGGGCCAATATTCGGGCATCCGATGTAGGACATAAGCGGGAATCATAACCACGGTCTCTTTTGGGATGGTGATTCCATGGATTTCTACTGTCTTTTTGCAAATCCTCTCAAGTCGTGTCCCAGGAGGGTAAAGACGAAAAGTTTCATTCACCACCATATCTAGATATTCCATTTGATGGAGCGCATCATAGGTGGGAGGGGTCTGCACAAAAGGCCAAAACAAGACAAAAGAAAGTAATATGCCATTCTAAGAAGTGATTTCTCTCCCTCCCTCCCTCCTTCCCTCCCTCCCTCTCTCTTTCTGTATAACGTTCTTGTGGAACAGGAATCCTGGAAAGCTGGCCACCTCCCATCTAATTAAGATTCACATTTCAGTTATGTAAACATTGTGAAAAGGAAAAGAAATCCTGTCATGTCAGAAGAAGACTCTGGTTTTGCTCTTCTGGACGCAGACATCTTCTATACATGGGAAGCAGTCAACCTGGCAGGGAGGAGGGATCCAATGAGGAACTAGCCTGGAATCACTGCGCAACCACAAAAGAGCTAGGGCTGATCCCACTTTAGTTCCTTGGAGCTTTATCTAATTATTCCCAGGAGCTGGCTGCTCGCCTGGGGAGATTCCTGTACTATAGGCAGAACATAATAAAGTAGTTAGCTTGAACTCTGCGTGTGTAGGTCTGGTTGTTTGTGCCCAGCAGCTCCTAAAACAACCAGAAGAGTCACCGAGGCCCCCCAAAAAGAGTCTTACCTTATTGGGAAAAGTGTCGTTGATCTCTTGGTACAATTTCTCTTGAGCATCAGGGTGCGTGGCCAGACAATAAGACATGAAGCTGAGGGAGGTACCAATGGTCTCATAGCCACCAAAAATAAAAAAAATTGATTGGGCCAAAATCTCTTTGTCTGTTAAACCTGTTGGACGAGAAAGGAAAGCACAGAAGAAGCTTGTTGGTACCTTTTATCACATGTGGTGGTTATGCCCCAAGACCAGGAAATTTAGTAAACGCCAAATTGAACTCAAACTGGAATTCTTTTTATTAGGAACAATTACAGGCCAATATAGTTAAAAAGATTAAGAATATCGTATTGCATATTTTGACAGCAGCCAGAATAGCTTTTGCACACTTATGGGAAGGAGCTAATATCCCCTCAGAAGATCTAGTCATACAAAAAGTACTGGAATGCGTCAAAATGGATAAGCTCACTTTGGAAATGAAAGAAAAGGAGGATTC